ATTATATTATATTATATTTGCATTCTGTTATATGCAATATATGCAATTTAACCTAAGCCTAAGCAAGGTCAAATCTCAATGGGTTCTTAACCCAATTCTAACCCTAAATCTGTAGGATTTAACCTAATCCAGACCCAGTCTAAACCAAAAGAAGACCCTAATCCAGTCCTAACCCTAAATCTACAGGATTTAACCTAATCCAGACCCAGTCTAAACCAAAAGAAGACCCTAGTCCAGTCCTAACTCTAAATCTAAAAGATTTAACCTAATCCTAACCCAGTCTAAACCAAAATGAGACCCCAATCCAGTTTTAAATCCATAGGATTTAACCTAACCCGACCCAGTCCTAACCCTAAATCTACAGAATTTAACCTAATCCAGACCCAGTCTCAACCAAAAGGAGACCCTAATCCAGTCCTAACCCTAAATCTAAAGGATTTAACCTAATCCTAATCCTAAATCTGTAGGATTTAACCTAATCCAGATCCAGTCTAAACCCCAATAGGACCCCAATCCAGTCCTAACCCTAAATACATAGGATTTAACCTAATCCTAACCCAGACTAAACACAAATGAGACCAAAACCCAGTCCTAACCATAAATCTAAAGGATTTAACCTCATTCTAACCCTAAATCTACAGGATTTAACCTAATCCAGACCCAGTCTAAACCCCAATGGGACCTCAACCCAGTTTAACCGTAAATATTTAGGATTTATTCTAATCCAAACCAGTCCTAACCCTAAATCTATAGGATTTAACCTAACCCTGACCCAGTCTAAACCCAAACGAGACCTCGACCCAGTTTAACCCTAACCATGTCCCCCAGCCTGTTTTTTGGGGGTCTCACAGACCCAGTTGGGGTGTGACTCCCCTTTTTCTGTGTCCCCTGTCCCCAGGCTGTCCCCCGTGCTCCAAAGGCTGGGTTTATTTGGGGAATTCCTGCTATTTCTACTCGAAAACCGGGAGCTCCTGGGAAAATGCCCGGCGCTTCTGCTCAGCCCTGGGGGCGCAGCTGCTAGAGGTGGACGGCCCCGAGGAGAAGGTGAGGATGGGTCACACACACACACATCCAAAACCTCATGGGAACCCCTTAAACCCTGTCCTAAACCCTACAGCAGCTTTGGGGTCACCCCATTTCTCCCACAGGCTGAGTTTTCACCCTAAATTTACCCAAATTCTGCCCTTTTAACCCCAAATTCTGCCCTTTAAACCTGAAATTCTGCCTTTTAACCCCAAATTCTGCCCTTTTAACCCAAAATGCTGCCCTTTAACCCTGAATTCTGCCCTTTAACCTGAAATTCTGCCCTTTTAACCCCAAATTCTGCCCTTTTAACCCAAAATGCTGCCCTTTTAACCCCAAATTTACACTCTACTGCCTAATATTTCTATAATTAAGCCCAACCGTATTCTTAAGAGAGCTGTAATCCTAATACTGAAGAAAATCCAGCCAAAAGCTAGGCCTAACCCTATTCCTAACCCTAGACCTGACCATAACCCTAACCCGAATTAAATTATCCATAATTATAACCCTAAACCTAATCTGACAGATATTTATAGGGTTTAACCTAACTCTAAGATAGCCCAAATCCCAAGAGGTCCTTAACTCAGCCATAACCCTAAATACATAAGGTTTAAGCTAATCCTAAATTAGTCCAGATGCCAATGAAGCCCTAACCCAGCCCTAATCCTAAATAGATACGATTTAAACTAATCCTAAATTAGTTCAGATCCCAATGAAGCCCTAACCCAGCCCTAATCCTAAATATATAGGATTTAAGATAATCCTAAATTAGTCCAGACCTCAATGAAGCTCTAACCCAGCCCTAATCTTAAATATATAGGATTTAAAATAATCCTAAATTAGTGCAGATCCCAATGAAGCCCTAACCCAGCCCTAATCCTAAATATATAGGATTTAAGATAATCCTAAATTAGTCCAGACCTCAATGAAGCTCTAACCCAGCCCTAATGATTTAAGATAATCCTAAATTAGTCCAGACCTCAATGAAGCTCTAACCCAGCCCTAATCTTAAATATATAGGATTTAAAATAATCCTAAATTAGTGCAGATCCCAATGAAGCCCTAACCCAGCCCTAATCCTAAATATATAGGATTTAAGATAATCCTAAATTAGTCCAGACCTCAATGAAGCTCTAACCCAGCCCTAATCTTAAATATATAGGATTTAAAATAATCCTAAATTAGTGCAGATCCCAATGAAGCCCTAACCCAGCCCTAATCCTAAATAGATACGATTTAAACTAATCCTAAATTAGTCCAGATGCCAATGAAGCCCTAACCCAGCCCTAATCCTAAATAGATACGATTTAAACTAATCCTAAATTAGTCCAGATGCCAATGAAGCCCTAACCCAGCCCTAATCCTAAATAGATACGATTTAAACTAATCCTAAATTAGTCCAGATGCCAATGAAGCCCTAACCCAGCCCTAATCCTAAATAGATACGATTTAAACTAATCCTAAATTAGTTCAGATCCCAATGAAGCCCTAACCCAGCCCTAGTCCTAAATATATGGGATTTAAGATAATCCTAAATTAGTCCAGACCCCAATGAAGCTCTAACTTAACCCTAATCCTAAACAGATAGGATTTAAGATAACCCTAAAACAGTCCCAGTCCCAGGGAGGCTCTAACCCTAAGTCATTTTTCAGGACTTTGACCCCAAACCAGACCTTAATCCCAGCTCTTGTGCCCCACAGCCCCTCACCTTGCTGTCCTTAACCCCAAACCTCCTCTAAACTGTCCCCTAGCACCAAAAAAAACCCAAAATCAGGGGGGAAATGGCCTCGGGTCCTACCTGGCACCAGGACCTGCTGTCCCATGTTGTCCCCAAGGGTGGTCCTGGGGGGCTCTGCCACGGGGGCGACGCTGCTTTTGCCCCTAGAATCACATCCGGACCATGCTGCAAAGCTCCTCCTGGCTCGGCATCAGCGACGAGGAGGTGGAGGGTACCTGGAAGCGGGCGAATGGGACTATCCTACCCCGAAAAAGCAGGTACAGCCCAGTGAGTGTTGGGGACAAGGGTTTGGGGACACCCCTAAAATGTCCTGAGCCCCCCTTTTCGTCGCAGCTGGTGGCACAGGAGCGAGCCCAACGGCGGGCGGCAGGAAAACTGCGCGGCGGTGCGGGAGGATGGCGAGTGGTATGACTCCCCCTGCGCCAGCCAGCTCCCCTGGGTGTGCGAGGGGCACCCCTGAGCATGCCAGGGGCACCCCAAAATCCACCCCCCAGCACCCACCGCCCCCTCAAAGGGCTCCCTTCAGCCCCTTTCCGCTTGTTGCATCCGACCTGCAGCCCTCCGGGGTGCAGCCTTGGCTTCTGGAGCATCCTTTTGGGGGTCCATAGATGGATCTCTAAGGGGAAAATTTGGGGTACGGGGTGAATCGAGCAATAAACACGTGTGAAGTGTGAGATCCTGTGCTGGTGACGCCGTGGGGGGACC